AGGCAGGAGTCAGGTGCTTCTCCTGGTCTCCCATGGGGTGCAGGGCCCAAGCACTTGGGCCATCCTCCACTGCACTCCCTGGCCACAGCAGAGAGCTGGCCTGGAAGAGGGGCAACCGGGACAGAATCTGGCGCCCCGACCGGGACTAGAACCCGGTGTGCCGGCGCCGCTAGTACAGTGCCCACTCTCACCTCCCCAGGGACACTGGAGTACAGTGCCCACTCTCACCTCCCCCGGGACACTGGAGTACAGTGCCCACTCTCACCTCCCCCGGGACACTGGAGTACAGTGCCCACTCTCACCTCCCCCGGGACACTGGAGTACAGTGCCCACTCTCACCTCCCCCGGGACACTGGAGTACAGTGCCCACTCTCACCTCCCCCGGGACACTGGAGTACAGTGCCCACTCTCACCTCCCCCAGGACACTGGAGTACAGTGCCCACTCTCACCTCCCCAGGGACTCTGGAGTACAGTGCCCACTCTCACCTCCACAGGGACACTGGAGTACAGTGCCCACTCTCACCTCCACAGGGACACTGGAGTACAGTGCCCACTCTCACCTCCCCAGGGACACTGGAGTACAGTGCCCACTCTCACCTCCCCCGGGACACTGGAGTACAGTGCCCACTCTCACCTCCACAGGGACACTGGAGTACAGTGCCCACTCTCACCTCCCCCGGGACACTGGAGTACAGTGCCCACTCTCACCTCCCCCGGGACACTGGAGTACAGTGCCCACTCTCACCTCCCCCGGGACACTGGAGTACAGTGCCCACTCTCACCTTCACAGGGACACTGGAGTACAGTGCCCACTCTCACCTCCCCCGGGACACTGGAGTACAGTGCCCACTCTCACCTCCCCAGGGACTCTGGAGTACAGTGCCCACTCTCACCTCCCCCGGGACACTGGAGTACAGTGCCCACTCTCACCTCCCCCGGGACACTGGAGTACAGTGCCCACTCTCACCTCCACAGGGACACTGGAGTACAGTGCCCACTCTCACCTCCACAGGGACACTGGAGTACAGTGCCCACTCTCACCTCCACAGGGACACTGGAGTACAGTGCCCACTCTCACCTCC